GCCCGGAGCTCCGGGCGACCAGGGGGACGCCCCGAGAGCCACCAAGCACACCCGCCCCTGGCTACCCCGACCCCCCCTCCCCCAAGCCCAGATCCCAACCCTCCCTCCCCAGCCCCCGCACCCTCCCTCCCCCAAGTCCCCTCACTGCTTATGCTAGCATTTCTGGCTAGTCTTGAGTATTTAGTCCGTGTCTCAGTCAGTATTCCCCAGTTCTGTCATTGTATTGTCCGGATGTTCATGCCTGTCTGTCCTTTCGTGACCATTAAAACCCATATCTCCGGCTGATCTCGCCTGCCTGCCGACGCGACACCTGCTGACGTGTTTATGCTGTTTAATTTCCTGTAGCTTTCTGGGAAGTTAGGGAACTGACCACAAGTAATTTTGCATCGTTATAGATTAGCTAAGTGCAATGTGAGTAGCCTTTTTATTACCAGAAAATACCTCATCGCGTTGGTAATGTAATGTTGTGTGCATGGTGATGCCTCTGGTCTTCTGCCGGCTCTTGCCTGGTCTCTGTCTTCCTCCCAAGCCAGAGCTCTCTGTCTGTTTTATGAAAGGCTGGTTAACATCCAAGGAAGTGTGACCGTGAGTCATTCCAGCCTCTGGCGTGGTGGTAGGGAAATGTCGTCTGACCCACTGCAGCAGGTGAGAATGACAGTGATGAAATAGTCCATGACTGACTTTGGAAACTAATAACACGGAGAACAGTAAACGTGGACATAAGCAATAGCATTCAATTAATTTGTTGGAAAACTGGAAGCGGGACTTAATCTACATGCTATCCCTGAATAAAGAAGAGCAAGTCTAGTGATTTGTGTGTGATGGGGAAGATTTACCTGCAGCTCAGGGGCTAACAGCCCAACAAAAGGCTAGTTGTCCGGACCTAGTGCTGGGTTCTTTGGTTTTAATAACCTCCACTTAGAAACTGATGAAATACCTGAGGACTTGTACCAGCATCTTATGCCTTTTATGGAAGGCAGTATTCTCAAAGCTCATGTTTTAACCCACCATGGTGAGACAGCAGGGGAAGATGAGGACCTTTCCCGCTCCCTCTCGAAAATGTCATTGTCCTCACACGGTTGCATTTCATCCACCCTCAGTTACCCATGCTCGACAAACAATGTTATGGAGTAGAGCTAAGCTTTGACTCTTTCCTGGATGAGATACATTCTGCTGATGGTGCAAAAATTCTGTGTGCGCCCACTTCCTCTTTCACACAAGTCGGCTCGCAGCCACACATATTATCTATCTATGATTCTGAATAAGGCTCCACCCGACCGATGCTACATGTCTTGTTTCCTATGCAAATATTTTTCCCTATGCAAACAGGCTGGCCGCTCAGGCTCTGAACGTTACTTCAATGAGTGCAAATTCCTCTACAGCATGACGGCAGGTTTTTTGCTAATTGTTGCTGTGCTTGATGATGATTCCTATGACACACTTAGTGAGCCAGAGTCTTGCCCTGAAACATGGGCGTTAATTTTGGGTGGGATGGAGGGGTTGTTACCCCCCAATAATCAAAACAAGCTAATACAATCCCCCCAATAATCATGTCTCCTCTTACATAGGGGGAGACCTCAACCCCCCTCCAATGTTCAAACCAAAGTTACACCCTCGTCTTGAGGACACACCCTCTTGCAAGCTATCTGACCACATGCAACCTTGCACAACCTGCCTAGTCCAAGTGCACCAGTCACCATATGTATACGCTTTCAACAAGCATCTTCACACATGCTTCACACAGATCATCCCTTTTGAAGGTTCTGAGAGAGACCCGTTTGGTCTTCAGTTGAGGTGCCAACATGTTTGACTTTGATGGTCTAGTAAGAGATGTTGAAATTTTGACTGCCACATCTTTTTGGGTGAAGAATGACATCTCAGTGCATTCTGCTAAAAGACAGGTCACGCGAGGTCTATCTCTAGGTCTTATCACTGGCAAAGAGGCTTAGCCCACTGAGCCACACACTGCCCCCAAAATGTAGACCTTCCCGTCATTAGTTTGTGCTTTGTCCCATCCATGGATCCTAGACATTCCATCAGTATGCAAATAACTTGCATCCCACAGATATGAGAGCCAAGTTCCATTCCCTCCTCAACCAATATGATGACAGATGTAATGGCACTGTTGGGTCCTTTAAAGCCAAGGTAAACAGGGGTCCACTGGACCCACCTCAATGCAATGGTCATCTCCTCTTGTATGAACAGGTTAGGCTCATCAAACTGCAGCAGAAGCTGGACGAATTGGAGGATCTGGGTGTTTTGGCGACCGAGGGGTGTTGGTGTAGGTGGAGTTCCTAATCTTTATTTCCTAGTTAGGAAACAGAATGACATTTATTATTGTCTTGTGACAACTTTCACAGATGTTGGATGTCACTCCAAACCACAACCCTCCCTTCTGCCGGACATGCAATCATACCCAAAAGTTTTGGCAGCTACACAAATTTTGTGTTTCGCAACTTTACTATTTCAGCATTTTTAGATTATTTTTTACATGATTCTATGGTATACTGGAGAAAAATTATAAACATTTTATACGTTTCAAAGGTGTTTATTAGCAATTGCATCAAAATTATGCAAGGAGTCAGTATTTACCGTGTAGACCCTTCTTCTACAATTCTCTTCACTGTGGCATGCTGAATATCAGCTTCTGTGCCAAATCCTGACTGACTGCGATCCATTCTTGCCTTGTTAGTGGAATTAGGGAGTTGATCACAATTTGTGGGCTTCTACTTGTCCACCCACTTTTTGAGGATTGACCACAGCTTCTCAATGGCATTAAGACCGGTGGAGTTTCCTGGCCATGTATCCAAAATTTCGATGTTATGATCCCTGAACCACTTCACGATCACTTTTGCCTTATGACATGGTACTTCATCATGCAGGAAAATACACATATCACCACCAAATAGTGCCTTGATCTTTGGGAGAAGTTGTTCTCGGAGGACGTTTTGATACCATTCTTTATTCATGGCAGTGTTTTGGGGCAGAACTGTGAGTGAACCCATTCCCTGCTACATTTGCAGCAGTCATCTCAAGTACAATTTCCCCACGGGGATAAATAAAGTATCAATTATTATTATTATTATTATTGAGGACTGGACAGCAGAAGACTGGTGCAAAGTTATTTTCTTTGATGAAGCCCCCTTCCAACTGTTTGGGGGCAGGGAAAACACACTAGGGCAACATCAGGCGGGATGGGCAGCAGGAACTGCCAGCCAATTCGGGGAAAGGCACATGAGAGAGGGCCAGACGGGCATCGACTCTGACACAGCATGTTAGGGGTATCATCTAAATTCAGCAATAGGGACATGACTGTTTCGCTTCGCCAATGTGGTCAATGAAATTGCCCATTCTACAGAGAGAAAACGGGTCCTGCTGTCTGGCGGCATGAAGGTTCCTGTAGTTGGCACAGAAGCTGAGAATAAGGACTATGGCAGGCAGGCCAAATACCACAGGGTACAACTAAGAACTGTGAGACCATTTTCTTCCATCTGGTCAGTTTCTTTATCTTTCTGGGGGATGTTGCTACATTGGGGCATAGTCTTCGACATCAGTATCTAATTTCAGACTGAGCAGCATGTACATTTGCTTCTATTTGGCAAAAGCTTTTATCTAAATAGATGTAGAAGTAAAGGCAAATAGCACATTAAATGTGGCATCATCACAGGAAGAGAAAGGATGTTCTTAGAAATAACTTTAATGAAGCTGACTGTGCCACCCTGGAACAGCATCCAGGGAATGAAATTTCACCACAGGCTTGTTCTGAATAAGAGGCAGAGACAGAATTTATTAGGAAAACTCCAAGGACCATCACAAAACGGACATTAGACGTCAATGGGGAAAACATACCTAACGCAGACTTAAATACATAGGACTAATGACTATAACAGGAAACAGCTGGTAAACACAGGGAATCCACACTACACCAAACCCCTTCAGCACAAAATTAGGATATACTCTTGTTGCATTTAGATTAAAACACAGACCTACACTACACTGAAATAGAAGAACTATAGAGGCACAGCAAATCCCAAAAACAAAGTGGCATTGTGGGTAAAACACTGATTAATGGGCATCCCTGAATGTTCCAGGCATTATACAACTTGATAAAACACACAGGGCAATAAATTAATTATTACAAATGTTCCATAAACTAATGAGGCAGACCAACCCGGCAGGGAAATACCAACAGCAGACGGATGGATGGCACACTCCACTCACAAATCTAAAATAAAAATTTATACCGATCTAAAGCTTAAAATCACCAACAGCTTTGTGCAATAAGACGTGTCATTCACAACATGAAGGATCAAAAACTTTACACCAAGGTGATCCTTGGGACCTACAACCAGCAGGGGTTAGGTTTAAAACACTGAAGATAGAACATTGGTTATAAGATCAAACATTTCTAAAAATATTTCTATGATATTGCATGGATATGATATTTAAACTGAAGTGACATGGTTGTAATAATTCATAGTCATACTGGACCGTTCAGTTTTGCTTGTCTGGGACAGCTGTGATGAGAAAGTAGAAATCATGAACTTATTCTTCATGCATGGCATCCTGTTCAGGAGTTTAAACAGGTGCCTCCTGAACTTCTCCCCCACAAAGACATAAACGATGGGATTCAAGCAGGTATGGGAGTAGGCTAGAGCCGCCATCACCTGCAGGCTCAACCGAATGGCTTTGCTGGATTTACATGACGCGTAGATATCGAGCAATTCTAGGGCCTGGAAGAATGATGCAACATTGTAGGGCGTCCAGCAGCAGAAAAACACCACAACCACCAGCAGCATGAGGCGTATGGTCTTCCTGTTCGTTGACTTGCAGAGGAGTATTCTCCTGAGGATCATCGAGTAGCAGAACACCATGATGAAAAATGGAATCAGAAGGCTGGTAACATTCATCTTAAACAGGCCAAACGCTCTCCAGAATGGTTCACTGTGATAACCAACTTCACACAAACTTGTGTGACGTCGTCGATAAAAATCAATGAGTGTTAATTCAGGAAATGAAGCCAAAAGTGCCACGATCCAGGTTATGACGATCATGATGAGTCGATATCTGCGTGTTTTGGTTTGGAGGAAATTCACGGCATGAACTACAGCCAGGTACCGGTCGATGCTCATGATCACGACGAAAAAGGTGCTGCTGTTGAAGCCGATGTAGTAGCTGCCCATGACGACTTTGCACATGACAGACCCAAAGACCCAGTCTGCTCTTGCATAGTGAGCCAGGAAGGGAAGGGTGATGAGCAGCAGAAGATCTGCCACAGCCAGGTTCAGGAGGCAGATGTCTGTGATGCTCTGCAGTTTCACACATATCAGCATGACCCACATGACGAGGCCATTGCTGATCACCCCGAACACGAAGAGCAGGGAATAAAACACAGGCAGGAACACAGCGCCGTGTCTCGGATACTTGCATGGTCCAGTATCGTCACCATTGGACTCAATGATGGAATTGAACTGAGTAGAATTGTAGTCACTGTTAAATATAATACAAAAGAATTAAAGGATTCAATACCACCCAAAATATAAAATTCAAGCAAAAGGTGATTCGAATTAAAACAGTAAGAATAAACAGATCAGTATCCTAAAAACAATGCTTTCACAAAATAACAAAAATGCCTCTTGATTTAATATCAAGGACCCAATAAGGAATAGGGCCACTCTTTTGCCTTCATTCCTTCTAGGAGTGCTATGATGGACGTCCTCAGCTGTGTGTGGTGGGCTATTGGACCAATTTTCACGAAGAATACCCTCCAGGTTTTCAGAGATGGTGGTAGGTAGTTATTTACTTCAGACTCTGCATTCCAGAACTTCCCATGAAGGTTAATTGATGATTTAATTTGGCCATGAAGCCATTTGACTTTATTATAATTTTTCATGAAGCCACTCTTGAATTTAGTTAGCAGGATGCATAGTGGTATTATCATCGTGAAATATGAGAACATCGTGAAGACACTGTGTTTGCACCATAGTTTACACCTAGTGCTATGAAATCTTTCACTATCAGATATTCACTTCACATACTGCTGATTGGGATTCAGCCTATTAGCAATTGTCTCTGCAACCTAAGTTTGAAATAGTAATTCTGTTTACTTCAAAAGTACAGTCACTTTTTATGTCCTATTTCCCTTATTTTGTTCATCCTCTGTATGATAATGATAAACAACCATGTACATGTTCATTTTAAGATTCAGTAACTTGAATCATGTCTAGTAAACACAAAAACTGATTTTACTTTGTGACTGAACCCTTATAAATAGCAGCCCATGACAAATACATAACTGCTGAAGTCAGGGAGGAGCATATGACTCAATGCCAAATTCATAATCACAATCTTGCATCTAAACTTGCAACCCAGTGGAACGGAAATGCAAAAGGATGATTAATTTTCCTGTGTTTGGCAGAATATATCAACTGAATCTCATGAGCTCACTTTTTTGCTGGCCTTCGTATATAATGTTTAAATACCGCATTTATGTGATCTTAAATAAACTGATATTTGCTGGAAAGCATGTCCTGTTATTTTGATGGGAAGTTCAAAGTGTGAATATTACCTATAAAAGACGCAACAAGACTGACTTCTATGATGATTCGTTTCATATATGATTTTCACTAAATTTGATGTTCAAGTTGGAATCTGTCCAAATGTTTTGGTTGCTCATCAGCTCTGGAGGATGAATCTGTAAGACTACTTGTATTTTTTTTAAAAAAAACACGTACAGGGGCTGGACAATGAAAGTAAAACACGGGGCAGATGTGGACACTCGAGGAAGCTGTCTGAAATGGATGTGAAAGTACTAACCCAGACTATTCAAAAAACATAAAACCACAGCTGCTCAAGTCACTGCAGAACTAAATGCGCACCTCGACACCCTGTTTCCACCAAAATTGTTCAACGGGTCTTCTGCAGGGTCAATATTCATGGTCAGGCTGCTATAGCCAACCCTTTGGTCAACGCCAAGCCAATGACAAACGTCGGTTTCAATGATACCAGTAGTGCAAATCTTGGGCTTTGGACAATGTGAAACATGTATTGTTATATGCTAAGTCCAGACCAGGATTTTGTTTCAACCAACCAGTTGAGTACTATGTGACTATGACTCTTTATGCTCAACTGGTTGGTTGAAACAAAATCCTGGTCTGGATTTTTACTTTCTGGACCTGAAATTTCCACCTGAGGCCTGCTACTTGTTGTAAATGGGCTTGTCACTGCCAAGGACTACTGAACCATTCTGGAGGACCATGTTCACCCGATGGTTCAAACACCGTGCCTTGAAGGTGGTGCCGTGTATCGGGATGATAATGCACCAATACACACAACAAGACTAGTGCTAGAGTGGTTTGATGAACACGAAAGTGAAGCTGAACATCTCCCATGACCTGCACAGTCACTAGATCTGAGTATTATTGAGCCACTTTGGGGGTGTTTCGGAGGAGCGAGTCAGGAAACGATCTCCTCCAGCAGCATCACCTAGTGACCTGACCACTGTTCTGCAAGAACAGTGCCTCAAATCCCTCTGGCCACTGTGCAGGACTTGAATCTATCATCCCCAAGGTGAAATGATACTCTATTGCCTGCAAGAGGAGGCCCTACACCATACGGAAAAATTATTGTGGTCTAAAAACCAGTTGTTTCAGTTTTATTGTCCATGCCCTGTATCTCGCCTTTCATGAAGAATGTTCTCCCATATTACAGTGCCACTTTTACTTATATTTTATTTATATACGCACTTTTTTGTCTTTTAGTGGTTTAAATATAAAGGTGGACAATCCATAAAAACCCAAAATGGAGCCTTTTGGACTAAAGTAAAATAATTTTAAAAGTTAATATACATTAAATAGGTATAAATAAATGTGTAAAAAAATACAACAAATAAATTTAGGAACTTGAACGTCTAGTTCCAAAGTAAAAAAGATTTCTTTTAACAATATTCTTAAGAATAAAATACATTTTCAGGCCTGATGATGAAATTAAATGAAAATCACATGTAATTTCTAAAATTGGGAGTTTTCACCAAATGATAGCTAAAATCTGACTTTACAAACTGTGTATTTAGTTGCTTTGTAAAGATTCTTTTTTTTTCTAATTCAATACTGGTTTTTTTCCTCTTCTCAAGAATTATTGGATTAAAAAATATTAGCTTTGTAGCATGATGTATGTTTTTAAATGCAATGAAAAATGACAGAGAGTTGAACATACCTTCTCATACTCTCAGTGGTAAAGTTGTTGACATCCATGGTCTAAATTTCCTGTGGAAATGTCAGGAAGGCAAAGCCAACTGTCTTTTGATGAAACAAATATAGCACACGTTTGGTGATATGTTCTTATTTTAGCTTGGTACTTCAGTGTACTGTATGCTGCACAAGTCTACAGATAACAGTTTGTAAGAGCTAGCTAGTGCCTGCAAGGATTACTGAGGCAGAGTCATGCTATATTGAACATGATCATGTTTTTATATGTGGTGGGGGTGGTTTCCTTTTGTGAAATTAAAGGGGGAGTGTAACAAGCAAGAATGTGCTGTCTCACTTTTTTGCAATACATATGTCTGTTGACATAAAAACATAGCAGAGCTTGCAAAAAGAGTAGAAATCTATGTTTTATTTATTTCATGGATGTGCATAAGATGTTTGCAGAGGGAATAAAAAAAAACTAAAATCTAGTACTACGTTATAGACTAAACTGAATTCTTGAAAAAATATATTTCTATATTGCATTGATATGATGTTTAAACAGAAGTGACATTCATAATTATACTGGACCGTTCAACTCTGCTTGTCTGGGACCGCTGTGATGCGGCAGTGGAAATCATGAACTTATTCTTCATGCATGGCATCCTGTTCAGGAGTTTAAACAGGTGCCTCCTGAAC